AATACTCTTGTCAAGAGTTCATGACCCCTACTGCCAGGCCAATCCGTCTACTTACTTTCTGATCTGACAGTCCAGAGTTATGAACTACGCTACCAAGGTATGCAAAGCTCTCTATTACTTCAGTGTCGCAGGTTCACCTACCAACCAAACAGGTTCTCCTAGCAAGTCCCCAGTCTTGAGGATATATAAAATAGTTTATCCGTGTTATGGTATTCACAGAAAACGAACGTATTTCATTGTATTCGTAGAAAATCTGACATATAAAAGGGGGTCTATATCATATTAGAATCCTCTTGTACCAAACGAAGATGACTTGTAAGATTTAATAACACGCTGATGAAATACACACCAGGAACCTGTAAAATAAGTATGTCTGAACAAGGAACAGTCAGCAATAGCAGTGTTATTGTAGCGGAAGAATTCGTTCAAAATGAAACTGCCATGGACATCATTACACTATCCATAACAAGTAATAGCTAAAGTAGAAAAGGTATGAATGATAAATATCTCCTCAATATAAGAGAAGTATTTGACCGGTTTCGAATATGTCTTTGTCAGAAATACATACATCAGAGAAACTAGAGCATATATATATTTATATGTATCAGACGTGAGATGATGAGTCACGACTATCATGACTCATCAGCTCGCGTCTGAATTATATATGCTCTGTAGTTTCTACGATGTATGTATTTCTGACGTTATTCTAAATTTCTTGTGTTGAGATGATATTCATTCGCATTCACACCTTTCCTACACTTGTCAATATAATACGATTCAAGCAATAATGGTTAACGGGTGAAACATATGAATGGGATAGACATCAAAGGTCACATAGCACAATGGTAAGCATTATGGCGGAAAGGGTAAGGAAGAGTTAAAGATTAGAATAAAATGTATTAGATGTCAAAGATTAGAGGGCGTTATAGGGAAAAGATGACAGACAATGAACGGAGCCATGGAGATTGTTACATACTGGTCGGGGCCATAGAATGAAAAAAAAGGTTGGAAACCACTGTTCTAAGCTGACGCCTTTCGATTCTTTTAAAACTCGTCTTTATACCTACATTTCGAATCACTCTAAAGAAGACCAAAGTGTAAGACATTTTTATACTCAGGCCTACAATGCTAGACTCGAATTAAAAATATGTTTAAGTGTTCAAACCTTGATACCTTTCTTTCTAGTGGATATCATTTTATTTACTGTCATATATCTCCATAATTTTTAATTTTCGTGAAAAATAAAGAAAATGTGTATATATATGCAAATATATATATATATATATATATATATATATATATATATATATATATATATATATATATGTATATATGAATATATATATATATATATATATATATATATATATAATATATATATATATATATATATATATATATATGTGTGTGTGTGTGTGTGTGTGTGTGTGTGTGTGTGTGTGTGTGTGTGTGTGTGTGTGTGTGTGTGTGTGTGTGTGTGTGTGTGTGTGTATATAACTATATATAAAAATATACATATGCATGTGCATATATATATATATATATATATATATATATATATATATATATATATATATATATATATTTACATATATACACAGATAGATAGAAATATACATATGCATGTGCATATATATATATATATATATATATATATATATATATATATATATATATATATATATATATATATATATATATATATGTATATATATATATATGTATATATATGTATATATATATATAATATATATATATGTGTATATATGTATATTTATATATATAGATAGATAGATAGAGAGTGAAATCTAAAACAACTACACGTTAAAGTCATTTTCCTTTGCTGTACATATTGCATATATTCTAATAGGTTTCTGTGTGCATGTGATGATGAAATTCAGTATAGACAGTGTTAATAAGACCGATGGATAGGGTATGAGGATCGGATTGTTTCTAGACATGTACATAATTTTATTTTTCATGTCCCTCATAAATTATTTCATATATATATATAAGTAAAAGAATGTTATACAAAATGATACTTAAATTGTTCTGCATGATATACAATAAAATACACCAGAAGCAATTTAGCAACATAATATTCGTATGCAAACGCAAAGAACCCTCATTTGACATCGGAAACGCTCAGCGAGGGGGTACTGCATCACATATTGCATTTTCAGTTTCTATTATATATTTTATATATTCATCTTTGGAAAATTCTGATTTAGAAATGTTAAAAGTATTTTGTAACTTTCAGCCCTATACAATCCTCCCCCTTGTAATTTTTCTGGGGTTTTACCTCTCGAACTGTGAATGCCAAGGTTTCTTTTGAAAAATGGTTACTGCACTCGAGTCAATTAATATACTGCAAAGCTCTGAGTATGTACATCAAATTTATTAAACTTTAATTGAAACCATTTTGCAGGAATACAAAAAAAGAAAAAAAATCAATTTTTATTTTCTCAAAATATTTTCTTAATTTTAAATATATACTGTATATATTTATTAAGGTTAGGAACATTATTCTTTAAAATGTATTCATGAAAAAAATGCAAAATCCTATCTAGGATCCACAACATTCCAAAATCTGTGCCCAAAATCCTTTACCATCAAATTGAAACAAGTATAATCATTAGAGTTCCTATATCAAAGGCACAATACAATCACAGCTGTCAGATTCTTTCTATTGTACTTAAGAATCTATAAAGGACTTTTCAGAGTATGCAAAAGACCTTCAGGAGATGGTGAAGAACAGACTGCATGCACTGGTATATTCTCTTGCACAAGGGCAGCATTGGTTGCAGGTCCTATTGCAATAATTTTAACACCAGTTAAAGACAGTCCTACAGACTTCAGTTTTGGCAAAGCAAACTTCACTCCAGATGGACTAAAGAACACCAAATGTGAAGGTATTTTCCCTGTGGAATGGTGCTTTGAGACAGCATCCTTGAGCTGAGGATGTTCCTGAGTTTCATAAACTGTGAGCGCTCGGAAGTCTCGGTCTTCCTGAGCCAGAAGTTTGGGTAGTTCATCCCTCCCTAGGTTTCCACAAGGATACAAAAGAGGCTTGTCAAAGGCAACAACCTCTCTCACAATGATGGGGGCAAGCTGCTGCGCATTGCCTGATTCCTGACCAATGTGACTGAGTTTCAAGTGCTGCTGAACAGCTCTTCCTGTTGCTTCTCCAATAACAAATATTTTCTTCTCACTCCAGGAATGATGACACTCCACACTAAGATGTTTGTAAATCTCAGTGACAGCCTCTACTGCCCTTTTACTTGTAAAAATAATGCCACTGTGATTCTCAGGTTGTTGCAAGGCATTCTTCAAGGGTCCATGGTTGGTGAACTTGAAACTCAATGTGGGGACATGTACTGCCACAAAGTTTGCTTTTGACAGCGCATCTGCATATCTATCATCATCTGAGTCAGATGACTTCAAGAGCCAGATAGTACTCATGTTTTTTTATCTATCCTGAAAAAAAAAAAAAAAATAAATAATAAAAAAAATTATGATACATATATATACATATATATAACCGAGCTAATGTTTATTGTTTCTTTCTTTTTTACTTGACTGTATGATCCATAACTGAACAATAGTTTGCAGATATTAATAGTAAATAGTAACAAAAACAATAGAGAAGTAATAATAAACTAGTTTGTTTTACATTAAAAAAAATGTAAGTACCCTGTACATCACAATCTACTACTTCTAAATGAATAATATATTCACTTCTCTATCATGAGTTAAATTTGTGTAACAAATATAAAATAACACTATTAATTCATAATCTCTCCCTAGAAATTATCAGTATAGATCTATATATATCAATACATTTACACATAAGTGTATGTATATTAATATATATATATATATATATATATATATATATATATATATATATATATATATATATATGTATATGTATATGTATATGTATATGTTATAATATTATGTATGTATGTATGTATGTATGTATGTATGTATGTATGTATGTATATATATATATATATGTATGTATATATGTATATATGTATATATACATACATACATACATATACATACATTTATAAATACAGTCTTTGCTGGTATGTAATCTGTTCTTGTCTTCTCAACATATATTAGGAATTTTACTTTTTTTCAAAAGTCTAAAATATGAAAACTGCATTGCATATACCGACAGGAGAAATATAAAACAACCGAAGGAATAAAATTGTAATGAGTATGTAGTTTAATACGTTATGATGCAATCACTGACGTCAGACTTTGATGAAGCCAAATACGCCTTAATAGATGTTTGACAATATAGTATCATTTTATTTTGTCGACATTGCTATCACATTCTAATGGTGAAATCGCTAGCCGGCAGCCGGTCACACTGACACTTGGGTCATACATAGATTGGTTGCATATGATGACGCCACCGATTCAAAGTATAGCAATGTTCGGATATTTTCAACGGAAACTATGTATTAAGAGGATACTTTGACCACGCATTACCTGCCGCGACAGTGCCAAATCGAGGACGAAATGAGAGTTGAGCCGCGACGTTCGTCCAGGTATACGAACTGCGTCCTGCCTGTGTCGGCTGCTGGAGGGAATCAGCTGATCAATATAAGAACCTGCCCCAAATACCCTTATTCTTGCCTCATCCCGTCTCCTTTCGATGAAATAAAGTCCCTCGTGCATTCCTCTTGCACAATCTCTGCGAAATGTGCGTGAAAACAGGAGGCAAAGGTTTTGTTATGAGAGTTGCGCATCTTGCCCTTCCTGCGGCGTCGCGGCAGAACAATAGTCACCGTCCTCGTCCTTTCTGACTCCTGATAAGGACCTGCACCCTCCCTACGACCCCCAGACAAACCACCAGAGTAGAACCTTACCTCGTGGCTTCCCCGAAGCCAGAAGACGAGTAACACGTGGGCGCGGGCGTGCCAGGGCGCCGTGACGAGGGCGTGAGGCGGGCGGGCGCCGTGCCTGTTCTTCCCCGGGGCCAGAGGTGTCTGTCTGTCTGTGGAGAGGCTGGCTGAGGCGACGAGTTTCTCGTGCCGCCGAATTCCCCGCCCGAGCCCGCTGAGCCTTGCTGCGCTGCCCGCGGCGAGATGGCGACCATCCTGTCCCAGTACAGTACCACCGGATTCTGTGAGTGGCAGGGGCACGGGGCGGCCGGGCTTGGGCCGGGGCAGGTGAGGCGCTGCCACTGACACTGGCCAGCACCTGACAGGGGGGGCGGGGGGAAGCAGACCTGGCACTGCCCTGGAGTGTCCTTTAGGACTTCCAGGGCGCCCAGTGCCCTCAGAGGGCCCCGCACGTAGTCATGTAGGGATGGCTGCCAGGGAACACTTCAGTCACCTGTCCTGATATATTTAAAGGGATTTGCTAATGACCTAAAGCTTTTATATTCCTAATTAGTAAAAAAAAAAAAGTTTAAGCTATACCAGAATAGTTGGTTGGACTTTGTAAATCAGGTAATGTTAGAATACAATCGTCCTATGACCCCCAGCTGAGCATACCTCAGGTAATAACTGTAATTACAGGAAGAGCCAGATATTATTTTTATTACAGTAATCATGATATAATCCATTTTATAACACAGGATAGGATACATGTTGCAGCGTATTTGTCGACTGTCATTATTTAAACTCTACACTCCAATTTGGTGAGACAGGGTACTACTGTATGCGAAAGCGTGTGTCATGGATATAAAATGCCAGTATATTCACATTGGTTATTTAGAGCATGTTGATCAATTTTAATTTCTATATATGTTGAGCCTCAGTTTAAGTAGATTTATAAAACAAGTGAATAGGATGCTTGTTCTTTTTACTTTGGGGAGTTTGTTCTTTAACTTGCCTTGCTTTGCCCTGTGATCATCCAGTCAAACATGCAACATATGAAAATGTATGTGAATCAGATTTTTTTTCATAAAGATTTTTTTTTCATTGTTTTGATAATAAAAAAGATTGATCTTTATGGTTGATAAGATAGATAATGTTATTATAATATATTATGGAACTAAGTATATAGGATATGAGCACATTGCCTAATGTTACAATATTGATACCAAAGAATTTCACCCACCCCATCCAATTTATACACAGGGATTAATGCTTACAAACTCTCCTTTACACCACAATTTTGGCCCAGTTAGTATGATAGGGCATGAAGTATTAAAGGAAAATTGCCTGGTAAAATGTTAAATCAACTAGTATGTATGAAGATATACACAGACTTTCTACTTAGTTTATGTTGAGGTTGCTGTACTCCCTATTGTTGCCCTCTAACCCCTGTCCTGGAAGGCAAACAAACGTCTTCCACATTTTCACAATGGAAGTAATATGAAACAAGGATTATCTTAACCTATCCAAGTCATAATCACTCTGGATGCTGTGCGTTCCGCAGTGGGGATTGGGAGAGCGTAACACCCCATGGGAATTACTGTGACAATTATCACATATTTCAATGTAGACTATTAATTTTCTTTTATATTATAATGCATAATTTCCCTGATATACTTGAAGCTTTTCTCTGCAATTCCATGCTTGGTGTAGGTTCCTTATAGCAGCACGCAGATATAGAGGGAAATGAGGCAATGCCATCTTATAGCAATGGCGTATGAAACATAATTTAAGTTGCACCAGCCTAATATTCACCACTAGATGATGAAAATATCCCCTGTATAGCACCACTCAGAGTCCAAGTCACTCATCTTGTGTACCTTGCCAGAAAAACAAAGCACAGACTGCATAACTTATTACTGCGATATCACAAGTAGTTCATGTGTTACTATGCACTTGTCAAAATTAAATTTTGCTAATTATAAGTGTCTGCTGTTACACATATATACTTTTAAAGACTTCCATTAATGTTATTATATTTCATTTACGTTTTTTAAGCTTTATCTTTACAGTTCTTTAGAATGATGTTTTCATCATGCATTTCAGACTTTCATTTGCCACCTGTGAGGTTTGACAGCTCACCGGCCATTCTTTGACAGAAGGCTGTTGAGAAATGTAGCGTTTCCAGTGTTGCATTGATTCTGGGTCATTCTTAAGATTATATGGTGACAACAAAGAAGAAATAGACTGTAGTAGCCATCCCAGTTTAATATCTAAGCCTATCAAGAGCCCCAAATGCCCTAAAAAGTAATTAAAAACAAAGCAATCCAGACAGGAGAAAGAAGTGAACAAAAGTTTGAGGTTTCCAAATAGAAAGGTATTTGATTTATTATTTTACAGTGTGAACACAGCTCTATCTTGCTGTACATACCAAGAAATCACCAGTTCTTTCCTTACCAAGGTTAAAAGAATGTTTTCCAGGGTGTGTTCGCCCCCATCAACCCTCCCTCCCCCCGGTATTGCCCAAAGGGCACACCTAGTCTCCGCAACTTAAATTGTTAGATTAGATTAGTTTATTGGTCAGTAGATTTTGCCAAAATGTGGGTTGGATTCCCTGTAGAGTTTTTACAGTTCTGTTGTGCCAGTCTGTAGAATTTCAAAGATGGTAGGTACATATGTAGATATACTTCATACCCTCCCCTGCTATGGGGACTATCAAATCAAAATCGTCAATGGAGAAATGGTACTAGATCTCCTCAACGATTCATTCACAGAAGAAGCAACGCCAAGAATATATTATTATCATTAGATTTCCTGCAGAAAAATATGTTGTTTTTTAAACTTCAGGGAGGGTGCATCGTGATCGGTAAAAATTACCCATGGTTTATTTTCTATCTCTATGAATAGCAGGGAGTAACAGGATTCTATAGGTACTGCTATTATAATGCAGTATTTTGTGATATGGCAGTATTCTGTATATTTGCCTGTGTTCTAAATTCATCATCCTCTCTGGTGATTTATTGGCAAAGAAGCAAGTATTACAGATTCAGTTTTGCTGAGATATATTGCCACAATAATCACTTGGCAACATACATTTATCACTAAAATGAATTTTTGTCTTACCAAGGGGAAGATACAGTAATGAGGTTGGTGTTTATTGGGTGAATACATTGTGTCTTGATTAACATTCTTGTATTTTAAATTTCAGTCATCACCACCTTCTCAAGTGTAACATTGCCATGAGTAAAAGAGAGAAAAGAAAAAGCTTACTTATCTTCATCTTGTGACTACATAGTAAAAGAAAATATATTAGAACTGATCATTATATTGGTTTCATGCACTATCTCCCATGCCCTAGCTGTCTGTCCAGAGTTTGAATTTTATTTGAAAGTAACTATGATTAAAAACACATGCATTATAACATAGTAGATAGCATGTATTTTATTTATGACCTGAGACTGTTGCTTTCATATTTTTTAAACCTATTTTGCATATGCAATAGATTTTATTTACTAATTGATTTTATTTTTGTGTGGCTTAATGTGTGAAAAATACACATATGTAAATGCATTTCTGTAGCCCATATGGTTGGGTATGGCCTCTAATCTTTTTGTTTTCTATTTTTCATTGGGTTATTTATTTATACATTTATTTATAACACTACTTTGATTTTTAAAATTTTGCTACAGATAGCAGCCTTATGATATATATATCATTAGAGAAAATTATCAAGTCATCCTTCAAGCTCATACTGTGATACATCATACACAGGGCCCATGATTCAGTGTTTAGTCAAAGAACAGTTGATATATACAGAAGATAAGTATTTGTTATCATGTTTTAGGTATTTACAATCCCTTCTATCAGCTAGGAGAGATCAGACCTCAAGCAAGACAAATTAGTTGTATGTAGATAGCTTATATCATGACTATTTTTGTCAAGGAAAATATATAAAAACAATATTTTGAAATGTTCATGTGAAGGAATTGGGAGTGGTTGAGGTAGGTGGGCGAGCATTGTCATACATTCCATTTGATATGACTCCATTTAAAAAAAAGAGAGGGGTAGCCTGCATCTTTTGCTTTACTTATTTATTTATTTATTTTATTTTTATTTTATTTTATTTTATTATTTTTTTTTTATTATTATTATTTTTTATAATTGGAAAATCAGGCTCAGCAGTTCCCTTAAGGGCATCATCTGGTCAGTTTTCAACTTAAATCTGCCATCTTGGTAAAATTGATTTAAATGCATTTCCAAAGAGTTTCAGGGCCTCTGAATCTTCCAAGAAATTTTCAAGGCCCACCAGCTATTTTGAAGGTGGTACCAGCTACTTTCGAAATATGATATTTCACCTTACCTTAGAAGATCAGCAATTGTGACGTAATGATCAGATATAATAATAAAAAATGTGAGATGATTTTCAGAGAGCTTATAAAATGTCACATAATATGAGACCAACTTTATTATTTTTTTTTCTCGGAATATTCTAAAAAAATCTGGGAAGCGTTCAAAAAATAATAATGAGGAATTTATGTGTACAAATAAATAAGACTGATATGCAGTTCATATAGAGTATTTTATATTGTTTATGTTTAGATCATATTTCTCTAATGATATATATGTCATTAGAGAAATTTATCAAGTCATCCTTCTAGCTCATACTGTGATACATCATACATGGGGCCATGATTCAGTGTTTAGTCAAAGAACAGTCGATGTATAAAGAAGATGGGTATATTTTATCATGTTTTAGGTATTTACAATCCCTTCCATCAACTAGGAGAGATCAAACTGAGCTCAAGCAAGACAACTTAGTTGTATGTAGATAGCTTATATCATGACTATTTTTGTCATGGAAAATATATAAAAACACTATTTTGAAATGTTCAGAGTGTAGAGGCTTTTGAAAGATTCTGTAAAATAAAACAATCAGAATGACTGTTCAGTTTTTTTTATTGGATTTTAAAGAATTTTTCAGCTTTGGTCAGTTTTCATTATCTTTTTTTCTTTGTTACTTTTTTGTTGTTTTTTTAACTAAGAAAAGACAGACGATCCCTTTAGTACCCAATATCAGCTACTTTTTCTTTTTTATTATTACTATCATATGTAGTGTCAGCACATTGTGTTAATACTTAGCTCTGGGTGGTTTTGCATCAGCCCATATCCATTTAGAGTCCAGAAGGTAAATCAGCAGTGCCTGAAAGTGCTCTGGTATGATGGGATCAACCTGTGGCTGGATAGTAGGCATGTTCTGTTCTTGCATATTGTATTTTCATCAGCAGCATGCACAAACTTTCAGATTTTGGTACAGTATACATATTCTGGAATTCATGTTATTTAATTTTAAGTAAATTTTACATTATAATTTCTTTAATTTTTTGTTCATGTGTGTTTGTTGGCATATGTGTATAAACTTTCAAAATTCTAACCATAAAAGAGTGAAATGATTAACCCAATGCTACCAGGGATGGCATGTCTGTACACGCCATGCCCACTGTGAGTTTAGTTTATTATTGTCTTTACACATAGATGGCTCCACATGTACGTAGTCACCAAGAAATCACCAGTTCTTTCCTTGATCTTTGGAAATATTCTCTTGTATCTTATACTGTTAGTAATGTCAATGATATTATAATGATTATACTGTCTGGGATAATGATAATAGCAACAATATTAATAGCATTAGTTAGAAGAATATTTTTCCTCAAAACTCAAGGAAAGTTGAAATCAGGTGTGGGCACAAGCTCTACTAATTCAAAGGTTCTCAAACTTTTTTGGCTGTGACCTCTTCAAATTACTTTGATAGATAAGCAACCCACCGACCCAGTAACAAAGCCTTTCTGACAATCTCGACAGTTTTCGCACAAAATGCATGCGTGTACGGAGTGCATATGCCATGTGTCACACAACAAATAATGCTAGAATAGATTTTTTAGGGGAGGACACACATTACAAAAGGATAACTATTTTCAATATTACAGGACTATTATTGTGGAGTACTTTATACAGCAAAGAAAGCATGCATACATAACATGGCTTTATGATGCACTGAGCAGGTTGACCACCACATACTAGATGTGCTAGGATGGGTTGTGGGAGGAAGAGGAGGAGAAGAAGGATGGGTTGTTGGATCTCGTCACCCCTCAAAATTATTTTGCAAATCCTCTAGGTGTCAGGACCCGCACTTTCAGAACCTCTGCACTAATTGACTCCCTTATGGCTGTGCATTTGTTAGGCAATCCATTTTTAAACACTGGGTTAATAACAGGGATCCCTTACATTTAACTGTTCTTTTTACCACATTATTTCATTAAATATCTAATCCTATACTCTGTAAACAGGAATAAATGCCAAACCATTTAGGTTTTGGAAAAGCAGGAAATTTTAATGAAATGAGATAGCCAGTTTGTTTACATTATCTTCATACAATCATTCATCTTAATGTGCCAGGTTAGAATATGGTATCATTTCTTATAAGGATTTAGTATTTCACATAAAGGTGAAAGCATCTGAATAAAGTTAAATAGTGTCTTATCTTTTCCTGGTGAATTTTGTTTAAATTGAAATTCTATAAGGGATAGGTATATTTAAGCTTGACAATAACTCTGCTGGGCTTGCCACAGCTGGACTTCAAAATAAATTGAATGATGTTATTTCTGCATAATTATATTCAGCAACTATATAGAATAGAGATTCTAAAAAATGATATGATCTGCAAAGAATGTATAAAGTACAGCTCTCCTAGTTTGCAGTTAGTATCCAGACGCAGCCAAAAGGATTGATATTGCAGAATTAGAGTCTGGTCCCAGAATCAGATAAAGGTAGAACCTCCACATTATGATTCATGTATATCATTCCAGTTAGAACACTTTTAGTCTTTAACCCTTAATCCACTAACGACGGGTCTCCCACATATGAGACACCCGAAAAAATAAACATTGCCGGGCGTCCCACCAATATGACGCTGTATCCGGACTCGCACTCCGATGGCGGGCAGAGTCCGGGGCTGCCCAGCCCGCCGATTTTTTAGCCACCTGGAATCTTTTATTTTCAGCTTCAATGCATGTCCAGGCTGCTTAAATGCTGGATTTCTATACTTTTTTCCTTGTTTATGCTAATCATTAGTGATCTTGATTTTAACTGATATTTATAGCAGTTAATTACGAAGTACAATTTTTTAGAGATGGCATAAACCAAATTTTCCAAAACATGAGAAATGAATGAGAAGCAAAAACCCAACTAAGTTGTTTGTAGCATTAGATGTGGTTTGGGATATAAAGGATAGAAGGTCATGATCTGACACATTTGTGTAATAATCAAGCACTATACATATCTGAATTTAGATTACACTAAAAAGGAGATTATTTTTTAGAATTTGCAGATCCAACTTTACATTATAAGCTTGAAAACATCATAGTCATTTTCTGTTTTACTTTGGGAGAACTGGTAAAGTTGAAACATGAGGCATCACTCAACCTTAGGCTAATATAAAACATACATCCTTTAGGACTTCATAAGTTTTTTTTTTCTGATCTGAAAGCAGTTTGCATGTATTTTCCAGATAATGCACCAGTTAGCAAGGGACTCATGGGATGTATGTTCCTGACATGTACTGCTCTAAATGTGCCACTCTTTGCACATTTAAGAAAATACCTCATTTGCAAAATCCCAGATGTCTTTCTTAAAGGAGAGGTATGTGTTTCTGTATTTTATCTGTTGATAGATTAATGACTGATAATGTGTTTATGTAGTATTAGATTGTTTACATTAGTTGTGTATAAACTTATTATATGTATTGTAAAATGAAGTTAAGTAAATATTTAGATACCTCTTTTAATACAGTTATTTTACTTATGAATACTGTGAATAGTAATTTTGAATTGTATTTTATTATGATTTATTTTTCCTTCGCTTTATGAGAGATATGTTTCAGTTCAAGTACTAGAAGATTTAATGAATTTTAAAAACATTTAGCAGAAGACATGTTTCATTGGCAGGTTCCTTGTCAGCAAGTAAATCTTGTGTTGAAATTATTTGGAAAAAGTGTATTTTGGTTATAAATTTATCACAGAATATCTTTTTTCCAGATATGGCGAATAGCTTCAGCAAAGATTTCTTTTGTTGACACTAAGGATCTAGTTTGTGGTTCCTTACTTATTTATTATTTTAGGTAAGTTGGTGTCTGCTAAAAGTGTCTTTCATCATGCGTTCCCTTAGTCAGGTATTCCAAAATAAAAACACGTAGGATAACTTAGAATGTACTGTTGCATTATAGAAATGTATAGATGATGTAGAATTCAGACTGTAAATACCTTGTTATTGTGCTAGTTGAACTTTGTTCTGATATCTGGGCATTATTCAAGCTCTCATTTTGATAAGGTACTTATTTTTGATGAGATGAGTGTTGACATTGATCCATAGTGTGAAGCAGTGATAGGAAAAAAGTTCATGCATGATGCACCATTTATTCCAAAGTAAGAATTGGAATATTACTGATTTTATCTTTCTTCTTCACCCATTATAAGGGAAGAGTCTTTAATCTATCCTGTTGCAAGAGTTTACCATAAGTCAGTGCATAAACAGTCCAGTTCATTTTATATGTCCAATATTCACTTTTGGTAATAGTGGAGAGAGAAAGTCAGCTGATAGCTAACATCCATGCCTGGCTGTTAATCAGTCCATTTTGTTTTTAGACAAAGGAAGCAATAGATATTTAAGTGTCTTCTCAAAGGAAATATGCCCAGTGACATTTATTAACTCACTGAAGATAATGTATCACTCATTATCTTGGAGTTGTTGTTACTACGAATTCAGGGAACCCTGCCTTATCTTATGAAAAATTAGAAATACTTTTGTTTTTGAGAGTTCATAGTATTGTTTGTTACCACTGGGAGAACTGTATCACTTCTGCTTGAAATCTTGTGTGTGTGCGTGTGCATGTGTGTGTGCATGTGCATGTGTGTGTGCGTGTGTGTGTGTGTGTGTGCGTGCGTGTGTGCGTGCATGTGTGTGCGTGTGTGTGTGCGTGTGTGTGTGTGCGTGTGTGCGTGCGTGTGTGCGTGCGTGTGTGCGTGCGTGTGTGTGCGTGCGTGTGTGCGTGCGTGTTGTGCGCGTGTGTGTGTGTGTGTGTGTGTGTGTGTGTGTGTGTGTGTGTGTGTGTGTGTGTGTGTGTGTGTGTGTGTGTGTGTGTGTGGGCGCCCGCACATATTTATGTACACACACACACACACACACACATATATATATATATATATATAATATATATATATATATATATATATATATATATATATATATATATATATATATATATATATATATATAATATATATATATATATATATATATATATATATATATATATATATATATATATATATATATATATATATATATATATATATATATATATATATATATATATATATATATATATTATATATATATATATATATATATATATATATATATATATATATATATATATATATATATATATATATATATATATATATATATATATATATATATATATATATATATATTATATATATATATATATATATATATATATATATATATATATATATATATATATAATATATATATATTCATATGAACATGTTTATGTTTTTATACTATGTTTTTGTTTTTTCTTTTTCTTTTTTTTTCTTTTTTTCACATAACCAGAGTGTTTGAGCGACGGTATGGGTCGCATAAGTTTGCATCCTGTCTGGTGGCTTCGCAGGTTCTTACAACAGTGCTGGAGGTCCTAACGATACTCACTTTGCAATGGCTGGCAATTGACCTGCATTCAGGGGGATTCCTGCCTCCTGGACCGTGAGTGACACTTTTAGTTTGTGATACAAGGGTTCATGGGGCCGTTTGCCCCGAGTAGTGCAGGAGGAGGAGAGGAGGAGGAGGAGGAGGAGGAGGAGGAGGAGGGGAGAGGGAAGGGAGGAGGAGGAGGAGGGAGAGAGGAGGAGGAGAGGAGGAGGAAGAGGAGGAGGAGGAGGAGGAAGGAGGAGGGGAGAGGAAGGAGGGGGAGGAGGAGGAGGAGGAGGAGGAGGAAGGAGGAGGAGGGGGAGGAGGTAGGAAGGGAGGAGGTGGAAGGGAGAGGAGTGGAGAGAGGAGGTAGGGAGGAGGAGGAGGTGGAGGGAAAGGAAGGAAAGTAGCTGGAGGAGGAAAGGACTGAAGGAGGGAGAGGTAGGGAGGCGTATTCAGGTGTATGGATGAGTTAGTATTTATATTTCATAGGAAAATCAAGGATAACAAATTTCATTATAGACAGAATATATTAGAAAAAAATAAGCACAAGAGAAAAGGAAAGTTATTTTCCAAAACAAAAAGTAATAGCAGTCCACAGTTTGCAGATATCCCTAAGACCTGATTTTTTGTTAAAAAAGTTATCAATTTGCTTCAGCCAACAGAAATCATTACAATAAAAGGAGGAAAGCAACAAATTATTGTTGCTCTCATCTTCCTCCTCTTGTCTCTGTCTCTGGCTCTGAGTATACATGTAAATAGGTATGTATTTCATGATATATTTCTGCCCCTCAACAGAGTCCTGTTTTCAGGTATGGTATGATCTTTCCTCTCTTCGTGAACTACCTATTTGATATTCCTCGCGTTGCACAGACGAGTGTGCTTGGGATACCTATAACAGGGAAGACCCTCACTTACCTGTTAGGGTTGCAGGTTTGC